ATAGGGTATCATTTTTCAGGAAACTGATCAGTTGGTTGAAGATTTTATCTAGACTAGGTACACAGCTACTCTAGGATAGGGGGATTTGTGGAGTTTACTCTAGTATAGGGTAGCAAAATTCAGCTGAACTAGCTCTGGTAAAGGTTAAGGGTTCCAGGCTCCCAGCGGCACATCCCCACCCAGAAATTCCTAAAGTGCCCCCCCCGGGGGGCAAAATAACCTCAAAATAATCAGTCTATTTTACAAGCCTTCGCAAGAGGCCAGACTAACTTTCAGATAATGTTGAAGTACTATATCTCATTGGGTAGTAAGCGGGATTTGGGGTGATTTGGAGAATTCCCCCATATAGAAAATTCGATTTTGGTTTTAGCGGTAAATTGTCGTATTTATAAGCATTATGCAAATTACGTTTCAAAATTCTGCTGGTTCGTCCATATTTTATACTCTAAATCTAAAAAATGTGCCGTTCAGAAATTGTTAGATAGCTGCTTTTTGAGATTTAAGTGAAAGATTGCCAATATATTCGCTCGTTTATGAAAGTCAGCTCATCTCTGTCGCTAGGCTATATTGCCGTGTTCCGCGGATAATTTTAGGCCCACGGACCGTTGAAATCGAAAATCTCAAATAATTCCCAAACTCGGCCGCATTTTGAAATTTAAAACCTTATTACAGACTGAAAATGAGGGTAAGTTAGGCTTTGAGCTTGTGGCCACGATTTGCCGATTTTGCTCGATTTTTCTGTGCATTCGCTCTTAATTTATCGACGTTCTTCATTCTATGTTCTTGTATTACACCATCTGGTAGCTTAAACTGAAGCTAAATGGGTCCAGGAAGGAAAATATGCATTGTTCCTCATGGAACGAAAAGGACCGAAGCGGTAGTCAAAGTGCGCGGTTTCTCTGCTTGACTAGCCTCCCACACTGACGCTCTAGGGGGTTCGTCACGCGTTCCTGCCCAAGAACGTCTGCGTGGGTGGGAGGCTACCACTTGACACGTGACCATGCATATTTTTCCGGGAAGTTGGAACGGCCTCATCAATTCGCGGAATCTTTTTCATCGTTTCCAGGATCGTTTGAATTGTTAGGCATAGCCCTTTACAGTCGTTTAAAAGTCGAAGAAAAAGAAGTGAAGTAACTTAATCAGTTTTGACAAACGATGGCTAAAGCGGCATCTTTAGCAGACACGTTAGGCAAGCATTTGGAGTGTGCAGTGTGCCTCGATCAGTACACCGAACCGAAAGTTCTGCCCTGTCTTCATACTTTCTGCAAAAGATGTCTGCAAGGACTTTTGAAACACGAAGGAGCAGTTTGGAAGTTAATTTGTCCAACATGCCGCTCAAGTGCTGAGGTTAGTTTGAACCTGTTTGAACAAAGCTTTAGTGAGGGATTAATTGTCAGCGGCATAAACGGAACTGTTTTCAGTTCTGTACTAGGTCTTGCCTCCCAGATGCAAATTTTGCCTTTAAAACTTTTTCGAAGTGTTCTGACCAAAAAAAGGATGAAAATCAAGTTTTAACTATTTCTGAAGGTGGCGGGAGGACTGTGTCACTACTTCTGAGGGCTGTCGTTTTGAAATAGCCGTAGCAAATGAAGATTCACTTGTAACATCTCACAAAAATTTACAGTTTCCTCTTTGATCACCCGTAATATCAAGTGAGCTCCACCTTAACAGGTGTTATGGGTTACGGCTCTTAATGACAGCACTGGAGGGGGGTTGTGGCTATCAAATGAAATGGCCCTTTTATGCCATATGACATGTTGACTGCTTACATACAAGAAAGCAGAATTCCAAGCCAGCAAAGACATACAACACAAGAGATCTGTTAGTTATAGTCCACACACTGCTTAACTTCTAGTTATGAAGGAAGCTGGGGTTAAAAAAAAATGCACACATCAGATAGAATGGAAAGCTTCAGGACAGATATAATTTATGCTTTAAGTACAAAAAGTCTCCAACAGCGCTTAAGGTTAGTCCAACAAAGTTTTCTCTTACTTCTTCAAAATTGACAAGAGATTCATTTAATTTTGACATTCTTATTAGTTCAAAGAGTGTAGAAGAACTAGCTTGGTGGGGTGTAGGCATTTGTGAGCTGGGGGGTGGGGATTGTTCAGAGCTCTTGGTTATTGACCTAGAGGGGGGCACTCCCTCATTTGGCCTGATTGGATATCTTTCACTGAAGAGGGTAGGGTGTTAGGATCCTGAATCTTGAGTATGCAATTTATTATGAGTGTCTTGAACAAGGTATCAGGATTTGGATACAAACTGCATTTGAGGATGAAAAGACATGAAAGATGCTCCAGAACGTCATTTTGTGATTTACATTATTTATTCATTACACTGTATTTACACAGATTCCTAACGGAGAAGTTGATTTACTACCAGCCAATTTCTTTGTGAACAACTTATTATCTGTGGTTGCTCTTCATGAAGAATCAGAAACCAGAAAACTTGAGTGTGATAACTGTGACAGTGGAGACCCACCTGCTAATAGATGTACAACTTGCTCTCATTTTCTTTGTGAGTTTTGCACTCAAGCTCATCAACGAGCACGAAACACCAGGTCACACAATCTGGTGTCTCTTGAAGAAGCAAAAAAGATGGGGTCTGCAGCTGTAACAAAGCCGGCAATATGCCAAGAACATGATGGAGAGGTGATGAAACTGTTCTGCGATACGTGCGAGGAAGCTATCTGTAGAGACTGCACCATCATAAAGCATCGTGATCACAAGTACACTTTTGTGAAGGATGCCTTTGCAAAGGGCAAGGAAAACCTGCTTAAAATTCTGTCGGAGGCAGAAACTAAAGCAACTTCTCTCATGGAGGCAGTAGCTGGTGTTTTGGAAATGAAGGATAATGTAAATTCTTATGCAGATGAGACCGTACAAGAAGTTGTTGAGTGTTTTACAGATCTGACAGCTTGTCTTAACACTCGTTGTCACCAGTTAGTCACTGAAATAGGAGAATTGAAGAATTCAAAGCTCAAGTCTCTGGAAATTCAGCAAGAACAATTAGAAACAGCTCTTGCAAGCCTACAAAGCAGTTTGGATTTCACTAAAAAGGCACTTGAAAACGGTAGTGAGGTTGAGATATTGAACATGCAGAAGCATTTTTCCAGTCGATTGCAGGATTTGACCTCAACTAAGTATCAGCTAGAACCATGTATAAATGAAGGATTAAAATTCAAAAATGACAAACAACTTAAGCGTGATATTGACACATTTGGGGCTGTTGCTGATCACATTCCTTTAACTTTTGCATTTTTGTCAACAGTCACAATGGAAAAAGGAGAAGAGGGTGTGATGTACAATACACTGTGTGGACAGTCAATTAAATTTGTTATTACTGCAAAGGAACACACTGGGAGGAGGCGAATAGTAGGAGGTGATACCTTTAATGTTTTTATCACCCCTGCCCAGTCACATGAAGATGGCACACCTCTGAATGTACAAGACTGTGGAGGTGGTACGTACAGTTTTTGCCACACTCCAATGGAAGCAGGTAATTATAAGCTGTTTGTGCAACTGAAGAATCGTCATGTGAGGGGAAGTCCTTTTACATGGGTTGTTGAAAAGTGGAGTCTTGCATTAGATTCTTCTGAAGATAGCAAAGGGCAATTAAAATTTGTTGAAGACAATATGACAGCTCTGTACAAAGTGGATTACTCTGAAGAACTCTGTATTCGTCCATTGGTTCATAGCTGGTACTCTACTAAGATTTTGAGAACTTACTTGCAAGGTAGGTCTGACAAAGCACCCTTTTGTGTTGGTGATCTTAGTTTCATGGATGGGAAGCACATGTGGAGAGTTCAGATTCATGGAGATATCTCAAATGGTTTTAGTTTTGGCATTATTGCTAGCAACAGACACAATGCAAAGAACTTATTGACTGAAAGACAGAAAATGTGGATATGGAATTCTGGAATGAAACAATATCCAGATAAAGAAGAAGGACCATTGGGCAACATGAGCATTATCAAGAACTGCGTTAGTGGAGACATCATTGAACTCTACTTAGACTGTGAGCGTAGGACATTGAAGATGTTCAATCCGCGTACTGCTCAAACAGACACTTGGGAGGGAGTTGAAGGTGAAGTTTCTCCGTTGTTTCAGATGACCAACCATGGAGATAAGGTTTCTTTGAAGATAAAAAGTGAACAACAAAATTATGAAGAACAACAAAGGACATTGAAGATGTTCAATCTGGGTACTACTGCTCAAACAGACACTTGTGAGGGAGCTGAAGGTGAAGTTTCTCCATTTTTTCAGATGACCAACGATGGAGATAAGGTTTCTTTGGAGATAAAAAGTGAACAACAAAATTATGAACAAAAATGGTATGAACGATGTGCCACCCCTAAAGGGAAAGAGAGAAAAAAAATGGCAAAGAAACACCGGGTCAAAACAAAATGAGATTGCCAATTGCTGGAGCTTGAGCTGGCATGGTGTTGTGTTTTGAATTGCTGCCGTATCTTTGTTTTGAATGCCTACCAGAGCTTTCTCCAACTTCTCTGTAAGATGTTTTGTGACATTTACTTTGAAAGTTAATGTAACCCTGTTAGTGTGTATGGCATTTAAAAGAAGGAAAGTTTATGTGAAAATTGAATCAACACACACTCACTCCTACTGAAGGGCTTCCTAAAAACTGTTATATTTAGTAATAATGTTCATATTGTTTTAGCTGAAAGAAACAACGTTGCCACCTTTTCAACTCAAAAATTTTTGTTATTTGACTTTTTAGCTTTCCTTTACCAATAATTATATAAGCCTTGCCCACAGACTGCTTAGGGTAAATCTGCGAAAATCTTGGCCAGCCATTAGCACTTAAATAACAACAATGTTTACATATTGCTAAGGTTTGGTCTCTTTCAAAAAACTCATCAGGCATACATGTATGTTTTCAAGCAACATGATTTTAACATTTGATAAGCATGGAAAACAGCAAACATTTGTGTCATCTTTGCAATTTGTTTCCAACTAAAAGTGGAGATTGAGTTCTTTAGTCCATTGACAGTAGTTACAACTGTGTACTGAAAATATGTATCACGGGATTAACAAGAAATTAATAGTTGGCAGATCAGTGTACTGGTGATCTAAAATTAAGGACAATGTAAGCAGTCATCCATGAAAGGAATTTAGCTCTTTCAACATTATTGTTCAAGTGCCTAACTTGTTTTTATTAAAATAATGAGGCTGATTTCCTAGGGGAATGTGTTCTGAGTGAAACAAAAACTCAGTTAATACTTAACTTGCAGTCGAATTTCTCCAATGGTATATCCAATTCTAAAAAAGATGTGAACTATTCAACCTTGAAAATAAGACAGTGAATCTTTGTTTACATCTTTTGCCTCATTAACGCGGTTATCATTCTCTGATCACGTGCTATCAACATGACATCTCTGAATATGGAAAGAGGGTAGCAATAATTATTGCTTCAGGGAAATTACCTTTTAAGAACTCTCACAAAGAATGTATGGCTCATTAACTTTTTTGCCACCTGGCAATTTTGCAGTTTTTGATGGCTGCTATTTCTTTAGATACAATTAGTTACAGAGAGCTGAAAATTGCTCGTAACTTGTTTAAGTTAACCAGCTGCTCTTTCAACTTTTAAACTTAATTTGTACAGTACAGTGTACCGTGATGCCTTCTATGGTTAAATCCTTAGGAAGTGAGTGGAAAATGTAAACAGTGACCTTATAGCAAAGATTCACCTTAAAAAGTTCATTAATTTGACATTAATTGGTCTATCCAACTAGTCCCTAATGCACCAATGTAAACCTCTGCACATCCCTCCCCTACACTGACTAGGGCATTTGTGGGGAATTTTCCATTAATTGACAAGTGAAAGGGTCACGGGTATCACAGACTTTGACGACAGGGGGTGGGGAAGGGGGGCGTGGGTTTACATTGACTGGTGCATAAATAAATGTCAACTGTTATTTTTGCCAAGATGTAACCACAGGGGGCCCACACAATCTGTTTGTGTAGCCGATTGATTTAGTTGTCCTTTTGCCTTAAAAGTGGTTTTTTGAGTGATTTTGAAGGAGTTTGAGTTCACCGTTGACTGTTCCTTATATTTAATCGTAAGGAAGAGTCAACAGCGAGCTCAAAGTCGCTCAAAAAACCGCTTTTGAGGCAAAAGGACGACTAAACACCACAGGTGAAGTAATTCAACGTCTATTTATCATTGATTTACGTACATCTGAGTTAGTGATATATCGGTATAGGTGAGGCAAACGGTAAATCCAGTACATTTGCTATAAAATAACAATCGGCTACACAAACAGATTGTGTGGGGCATCCTGTGGTTCTGGTCCACTTCTGATGTTTACAGGTTTTTTTTTTACTTTGAAATAATAAAAAATTAATTACCATTAAAAGCATGAATGTCCTGTATGAAGTTGCTCAGCTCAGGGGTATTACATGTATATCTGGATTGGAAGGTATCAGTTGGAACTACTGGATTCCCTCTAAGGGTTTGATGGTTAGTCGCAATCATGATTAATCATATGGAGATTGCATTTGGAGGTCATGTCTGCACATAGTGATTATGTAGACAAGTTTATTAGTTCATGTTATAACATTTTTTATTTATTTATGATCTTTTGTTGTATTGTAATTAGTGATTCCTAATTATTAGGAAACACTAATTTTGGATAACCAAATTGAAATATTCAAAATTGAAAGGCAAAAAATCAAAACAGAATCAAACTGAAAGGTATAATTATGAATTGTTACACACCTACTTCCCTAAGTGTTATAATGAAGACAAGGTGCCAGATATAGGGTATAACACTAGACTTAAAATAGATGTTCCTTACACACCAGTACCCTCATTGAGCTTTCTTTTGACAAAGTACAGTGCTTTCAATATTACATTTGGCAGTACTGAAGCTAGTCTCTCCCAGCCCTCTCCATGCAACCATCTTCTAACATGTATGCAGGCTTATATCTATTGCTGCCATCTTCATATTTCAATGCAGGATTAGGGTTAGTGTTGTGACTGCTGCCCAGTGATGTATAACCCTTGTCGTAGAGGCTACAGTAAGGGACATCACATTCCCTTATAAAAGACCAAACATCAGCATGATGCCAATCCAGAATTGGATTCACTCTCATGTAGTGAGGCCAGTCTGGATCAGTTGGAGAAAACGTACGAAGTGCATCAGAAAAGGGGTCATGTCTTCTTGTGCCCAACAAAATTGCTTTGATTGAGGGTTGAGTTTCTTTCAATGTTTTCAGAGCATCCTTAATGTTGCCATTCATAGTAATTAGATTCAAATTGTACCTCTTAGTAGTTTCGGAGATAAATTCTTCCGCTTGTGGAAATGGTGAGTCGTAACGAATGTAGAGAGCTCTGAGCTGTTGATCTGGTGAGACAAGTTTATTCAGTGCAGCTTGTAGAATGAGTAACAGAACTGTACAGTCTTTGCCACCATTAAAGCTGATACAAAGTTCATCCATGGAGTAAAGCTGGAGGGTTTGCTGTATTATGGCCCAGGCTCCTTTGACACAGGCACTAGTGTTGGATTCATTCAATGGATCTAGCAAGTTGTAGACTCTTTCAACATTTTCCAACAGTTTACAATCCTCTGGTTGACTCAGTACAGCTACAACAAAATTAAACAAAATTTTAATACCTATATCTTACACCTATTTTTAGATCGCATTCTGTCAGTATTTAATTCAGATCTTCAAGTAAGTAGGGGGCAATCCAGCCACACAAAATAAGAAGGGGTCCAGGCATCCAAAAAAAAATTTTTTTAGCCCTGTGAACTTCAATACAGCCTAAAAATAAGGTGGATTCCAGAGTCCCCTGGAGCCCATTTCTTGGAAGTCTAAGGAACTTTTCAGGCCCAAAATCAAAATTTAAAGAATAAAATAACAGGTCCAACAATAGCTGATAGACCAGTGCATTTTGTTTTGTGAAACTGACAGTTGTGTCATGTTATCTCAGCGAAACTATTGAAACCTTGAGTGTAACCAACAATAGCTTTCTGGGCCTTAAATAATTGGGACACTTGATGGATGCACCCCTGGGCCCATCCCTTAGATCTGCCACTGGATGTGCATACAGTCAGGAGCCCATTACCCAGAAGAAGCAACTCCTATACTAGGCCTATGTCACGGCTTTTTTACAAACCAGTTTATTTTTAGACACATTTTAGGACACTTTTTCCCGCAAAAATAGAATCTCCACCATGTCTATGAATGCATTCAAACTATAAGAAATCAAAAAGGAAACTAACCGTTATTAAAAGGCAAAAAACATCATTTTTAGGTCTGTAGGTCTTGCTGCCTGGTTTGTGGCATTTAACAGATATTCAAAATTTGTGCCAAAACCATTCTAAAAATAAACTGGTCCGTGAAAATGCCGTGACATGAGCGCATGGAAGTTGCTCACTCCAGGTTATGGGCTCCTGATACAGTATAGTGTATCAGTCATGTCCCAGTCAATGACATTAATTTTTATTGTCACCTTTCGAAAAAACTGTGTCAGTGCTGTCAACTCTCCCGGATGATCCGGGAGCCCCAGATTTTGGACTGTATTTATTACAGTATGAAATCTTCCAGATAATCGCTTAAGTTGACCATTTCTGCAGTAGACTTGGCTTTCAGACATTTATTTTCAATGTTAGCATCAAACGTTTCCTCATAAACTCCAGTGTGCCATTGTATATAATACAGGCGACTCCCGATAATTCGAACCTTCAAGGGAAACAGCAAAAAGTCTGAGTTATCGAGAGTTCGAGTTATCGAGGTTAAAATTATATAGAAAATGTTCCAAAGGAAATGAAAATTGCTTCGAGTTAGCGGGAGTTTCGAGTTATAGAGGGTTCGCGTTACCGGGAGTCGACTGTAATGTGATTCGTGGGAAGTAAACCAATCAGGTCAAATGTTACAATGCCAACAAAAACTTTTTTGTGCTGTTCCGGGTGTCATCGGAAATTCGTGACGTCCGGAGTCAACGATTATTTTATACACAAATGACATCATTTGCTGTGCATTATGATGTCATCTGTCATCCCTTTCCTATCAATTCTCCATATAAAGACATGGGGGGTTGACAGCCCTGTGTGTATATTCAAACAGTCCTTACCATCTGAAACTGCAACATCACAATCATTTCCCTCTATCTTCACAACAATGCTCTTAGGTAACCTCTCCAGAAGGCAGTGCCATGCCTCTTGCAGAAGGTTTAAATTATCTGACTCCACAGTCAGCTTCACTTTGAAGTCTTTATTGCAGAAATCGGGATAAGACCCCAAGTGTACCTTTCCTTTGTATTTCTCATCTATCTCATTTAGAATAGAGGCAATAGAGGTTTCCTCTGCTGAAAGGTAGATCTTTCGGAGGAAAAAACGCTTCTTTGGGTTGGAAGTCAGAAGATGGTTTTCAAGAACACCAAACTCCTGTTCCAAAAACTGTGGAACTCCTGGAAAGATGTAGACGTTATTCACAGAAATAAGAGGAAATTTGCTGGGTTTTCCCCATCGATCTTTTCCATAACTTAATTTCAAATCTCTGGGCACCCTAGCCATCTTGTGGTGAGAGGAGTTGAGCTTGATCTTGTCTTGGGAATCAACGTCGAATTTGCCGGAAATTAACTTCAATAGTTCTTCGTTCACAACCAGATCTTGCTTCAAAGCTTTGGCTATGCCTGCCATAGTGACATCATCGTGAGTTGGACCAATTCCTCCCGTGGTAATAACAAAGGAAAAGAGAGAAGAAAAGATTCGCACCTCATTAGCAATTTCATCTACATCGTCTGAAATGACAGAAACTTTCCCTACTTTGATTCCCAAGGACCAAAGCTTTTTCAAGAGAAAGTGGGAATTCGTGTCTTTTGTATGACCTTTTAAGATTTCATCCCCAATGATTATGATTCCAGCCGTACACTTCTGTGTATTTTCTGAGATGCCGTCCGCCATGTTGTTGAAAGCCGGCTTGATCGATTTCTGATCGATCCGCCCTGATCAAAACTGTATGGTCACGTGACTATAACTTATAGCAACGAAGTCAAACAAAGATGGCGGACGTTTTGCACAGATGCACTTGCTTTTGCGTGGATTCAACGGATATGATTTTAGTTGGCGCTTTACGTGTGAATTCGGACGTAGTCTAATGGTAGGTTCTGTGTTCTTTCTCCTAAAAGGGTGAAAATTATTATCGCACTTTTTATCAAAAATGACTTTTGTAGTCACAATTAATGACATCGCCGCAAGTGGGCGCGAATTCTAAAATTCTCTGATTACAAATGAGTTTCTCCAACATTTCATTCTTTTCTGAGAATTTGCTGCTATAAAAGTTTCCTAAAAAGATATACACCGAAGATAAGAGCTTTGCAGAAAGAAATTTATTGGCTTAAACATGTTTTTATTTGTTCATTTCACAGCCAATTAAAAACTTACTATGCAAGTTTCAGATGCAATAAGTGTCATAAAAGTTTTTGAGAGATATTTCCTCTTGTTGTCATAGCTTAGGCGTTAAAGTTTGGTAGCCTTTTACAATTTTTCAGATGTCTGTTATAAGTAACTGAACTACATCAATGTATCTATTAGCACTTATTGGCTTAAATCTTATAAAATGCAAATGTCACGAAGTTCTGCACAGCCTCTCACATATGAATATTAAAGACTGTGATAGATGTATATGAAGTAAATCATGTAAGAACTGCGCAATTGAAATCAAATGAAGATTGTTCCTCGTCGTTTGAACCCGTGACCTCACAATACTGGTGCAATACTCTAACCAACTGAGCTATGAAGCCACTGATGTTGGGAGCTGGCAATTATGTGTATACGTTCCCGTGAAAGAGATGAATGTGATTGATGTATATGAAATACCGTAAAATTCCGAAAATAAGCCCTGGGGCTTATATTTTTCAAAGGCCCTTTTTGAGGGGCTTATTTTTGGAGGGGCCTATATTCGGAGAGGCTTATGTACAGAGGGAAATTTGGGTTTCAAAATCGATTGGGCTAGCTTGTAGTGGCAAGGAAATTTACCATTTTTGCTTTGTTTTACTTTGTATTCGAGGGCAAATTCCAAGTACAAGCCCCCCGGGGGGCTTATATTTGGAGGGACGATTTAACAGAGGGTTTTTTGCGTTACAATATTGGGGGGCTTATATTTGGAGGGGCTTATACATGGAGGGGCTTATTTTCGGAATTTTACGGTAAATCATATTATAAGAACCACGGAAATGAAATCAAATGAATTGGAATGCGTGGAACAGGTTATCTTGCTTTAAGGATTGTTGTCACTTGAATTAAAGGGGCTAAGAATTATAAATGAGTTAGACTGAGGTTTGGCAGGACAATTATTATTATTTGCCATTCTGAAAATTATGACGGTACTATTTAAGTAACACCCTCTTTGGCAGAATTTTTGCATACTACCTTAAAATCTTAAAGTCCAATCTTCAGGAGAATGCCACTATTAATCAGGACTTTCTGGCCAGATCACATTTATTTGGTAAATGGTATACATGGATTTGATGGATTTTAGTGAAAATTTCAAGAAAAGACTAATATTTCATTTTCAAAATGACTGGTTCAGCTGGCCAGTTCTGACTTTTGAAAAGCACCCCAGGGATTGAATTTAGACATTTTTACTTTGCCTGGCCACTATCAGGAAATAAAAGTGAAAGACTTACAGCAATGAGCCCTCAAGTGTGACCACTTTTGATTTATTCAGATTCTTTCATAAAGATTTTATCCAATCAGAAGTCAGCTGGAAACTGTCCTCAACCTCTGATTGGTTAATGTCTGCATGAAAGAATGTGAGTTAATTAAAGGAGGTCACACTTTTGGGCTCCTTGCTGTAACTAGGTTTGCACCCAACAGAAAACAGATTATTAACCTTGTGGCACAGTACATGTACTGTGACATTGGTAGTTGAGCCATAGCTATGCATTTAGGTTTGCTCTGATTCCAACTGAGGTAGGGGTGTTGTGTAGGTGGGGTATATCCTGGAAATTCCGAAAATAAGCCCCTCCAAATATAGGTCCCCCAATCCAGTAATGCAAAAAACCCTCCATTAAATTGCCCCTCCAAATATAAGCCCCCCGGGGGCTTGTACTTGGAAAATTGCCCTCAAATACAAAGTAAAACAAAGCAAAAATGGTAAATTTACTTCCAACTATAAGGCTAGCCAAATCGCTTTTGAAACGCAAATTTCCTTCCGTAGATAAGCCCCTCCAAAAATAAGCCTCTCAAAAAGGGCCTTTGAAACATATAAGCCCCGGGGCTTATTTTCGGAATTTTACCGTAGTTTGTTTTAGGCAATAATAATATTTATCTTCGACAGAAACAGAGAAGCAATTTCATCTATTTTTGTCTGGAATGGGTCCAGAGTCTTAAAATCTTAGCAGCACAAGTCCCCCAATGTCTGATTATAGGGGACTTGATGATCCATTCCTTTAATTCTTACTTTTTTAGGAAAGAATAATGAAAACTAGTTGCTCTAAAACAAGCACATAATAAGTAATAGTCATGGAACTGGATGAGAGATTGAGATGGATTGAAATCCGAGTGACGTCATCTTTAAAGCCCAGGGCAGAAGAACTCAAGCATCTGTTCACCAATGAAAAAAGCAGGTGAGGACTATAGCAGTTATATATAGATGTAGCCAAGGCGAAAAGCGAAGAACTTGAGGGATTTTTTAAGAAATGTCTTTCTCAAGTAATTCAACTTTTGCTGTAAGCAGAAAGCAAACTGAATTCCACCTTAAAAAGTGGACTTGTACCCACAATCAATTGAAAAGCAAAAATTGGTTAGTGGATAACTAGCAGGCATATTTTGCAGTGCCATCTATGTGGACGTTTAAACTGACTGAGAGTTGGGGCGAGTCAAAAATGATTCCAAGGGAGAGGGTGACGTGGGAAAATAGGGGAGGAAGGGGGAAGGGGAGGGAAAATTATGCCTGCATGCAGTCATTGTTTGTTTGGCGAAAATAGTACACTGGGTAGACAGGAGGTCTGATTTGTGCAGTTTCAGATGTTCGATTGCTTGCTACCAATCAAGGTCACATAGGAACATACACTTTCTGTGTCTTCTGCACAGGGTATTTTTGACACCTTGATTCATCCGGATTTTGACAATTTTGATTCTGTGGTGGAGGAAACTCTTTCCCTCATATTTGCCCAAAAATGACTAAGATGGGGTCTATAATTGGCCACAGAATAGATCAAAATGAGGTAGGGGCTCTGACAGGCTAGTGGCACATATCCAGCAAAAATTAACCCAAGTACCCCCCCCCCCCCCCGCTTTTGTCACTAAGGGCCAGGGGCCGGGAATTTCCCCCGGCTACTCAGAGCATGGCCCCTGGCTACTTTCGTCGTTAAATTAAACCAAAAAAGCACACCTTTGAAACACACAAAGACTATCCATCAAACTAAATGCAGGTTTCATCTGCAGCAGGTTTAAGTAATTCTAAAATACTCGCGTGCAAAAACTAAGAAACGTCGGAAAAAGACATCTGACTTAGATTTGGTACTAGTACACACGCGCGAAAACTCTCCGTTCACGAAATGTCAGTAGGGAGTTTTAGCAACGACGACGGCGACGGCAACGAGAACGTCAAAAAAGTAATAGGTTTATTGAGCAAAACAACTAGTTTGCACGTACATCACACTTTTTTGTACATTTCTTTGCCGTTACTGCGTGACTACGACGTGAAAATGCCTAGTTTCACGTTTTATGGAGGACGTAAAACAAGCGACGACAATCTTTTCTTTCTCTTTCTAAACTTGAGTGCGCCTAAAGAAATCAACTCCAGGGAAATTGGCCTGCATTAGCTATTTTCAGCGAATTGAAACAAACGCGACAAAGTTGGAAACAACGCCAATTCATTTTTAAAAGTGACGTTTTCGCTGCCATCACCCTTGTCGATGCTTAAAGTCCCTAGTTTCAACCGTTGTGTAGGGTTTGTGTTGAACATGTCGAAGAAGTGGCAAAGGATTCTGCACTCTTTGTTCACGATGAAAGACCTGAGCAGATCTCTGTTGACATCACAAGTTGAGGCGTCATCCGGGGGTTAAATCTCCCTGATGCTGATGTTGATGATGATGAGGATTATGATGAAGGTTTTGAAGATGAAGACTATGACTGATTACCATGTTTAATATATTGACATTTAAGTGACCAGGTCTACATTTAGCTTTAGGTATCGAGTATATAAAATAACGCACGATCAACGGGAAATATTCGATCATTGTCTGCAGGTCATGATCACATCCTCTCAGTTCTACTTCCAAGAAGTTATATATAAAAGGGAAGTTAAACATTAGCATTACTCTTGTAGTCTTCTCTTTGAGTCTCGTTTTGACATCTGAGCGTTGTTTATAAAGTATTAGCCCTGTCTTTTCAACTTTTTTCCGTAGGTCAGTTTCTTCGTATGTTTAAGTGATGTTTCATCCATAAATTCAAGACCACTAACTTGTTACCAGTTGTGCGGTTTAGTTTTGCCATATTTTATCCCGCGATTTTTCGTATGTTACGCTTGTTTTAGCCTGATCATACTTTTATTTTTCAACAAGCCATAGTAACCTTATGTTATGACGCTTTTTCATACATTCATCGTCTGCTTGTCTTCTTTCCGCTTCTCCGTGGGTTAATTCATTTGTAATATTAGTTTTACTTTTGTTTTCCGCAAGTTGTTTTGTTCTTACGTATAACTAAATGAGGATTTACAATTGATTTAACAGCGCATGTTAATTAATTTGCACCGTATGAGAATCGATTGTCCTTTCCACATTTTTAACATTATTTTGTAAAGTATCGTTGTGATTTAACACTTCACTGGCCTGCCTGCGCCTTGTCTGCGTAAAGATAAGATTGCGCAAATAACATGACTGGTGCCAACCTGTCATTTTTTCAGGCCCGGTGCTTACATGTATATTCCCATTTGGCAGCCACTAAAAAAACCCTCCAACGAGCCTTTACGTAAAGTAAAGACTTATTATTTTAGTGTCTCAGAATGTTGTAGTTTTCTTTAATAAAGACGTGATTATCATAAAACCGCTAATGATAGCTGTACTCTTGATAAAGATTGCTTTTTTGGGGCGGTAATGCCTTTTGGAAAATGGTAGAAGTTGCTCTTCAAAAACTTCTTGGGGGAGGGGGGGGAAGGGGCTCCATGACTGCTTGCGACTTCCCCGGCTACTAACAACAAGTACCCAGCAACTTGAAATCTTAGTGACAACCCTGCTTCCGGAACAATAAATCGCCTGCCAATGCATTTTCGGAAAAGCAGTCAGTTGCAATTAATTAGGGGGCGTTTGGCAGATTCATAGGCTCTGCTGTCAGGCATTTTTTTCCTTTTTCTTCCTGCCCCAGTTCGGTTAGTAGTTCATGTATGACCCCATGAAATGTCCTGAGACACCAGTACCATGTCGTGCCTCTAGGCACAGAGGTGTAGTAAGTGTAGTAAGTGTGGTAAGTGTAAAATACTAACCCCCAGTTCCCCTTGCCTGCTCCTCCTCCATGTACCTCTGGGTCGCAATTCTAAAAAAATGCCTGCTTTGCAGGCTACAGATAACTTTACAAAAATATGTCACCTTATCCTCAATGATTTGTATACCTGAGCCCAAGATACAGTCATGTGACACTGGTCAGCAATACCCTTTTTCGACAGCTGTTGTCATTGTAAGCATATCTAGAGATCTAGAATTGAAAGAAAAAAGTGTGGCGCTTAGGATATAGTGTATGTGTTAGAAAGTATCTGATAAATTTTTATTGACAGTCCCTGTTGTTACAATGTATCTTAACTATAAACTCATCATTTTTTTCTAACCCAGATAATAGTAAACACACATTTTATAAATTAATCTGATGAAGTTATGTTTTGATAGCACATGTCAATTAATCATTGTTCAATCACTAACCCTTTTTATCTCTAGGGAGGCTATGTTTGAGTTCTGCAACAATGAAGAAGTGAAGAAGCTCTTTATTTTCTTCTCCACGTCATCTGGTGGCAAAAATCTTGTGGCATCACTCCATCCACCCAATAGTGTCCAAGAAAAGTCTGTTTACTTTGTCAAGATTCACAATGCTGGAAAACTCTCCAGGGACAACATTGTTACTGATGTTGCCTTTTGCGACAGCTCCTATCAGCCTTTATCTCATGCCAGCACTTTAACAAAGGATGTATTTTTGCCGCTGTTGAGTATTGAAATGGGTGGCGGTGTCAGCGCCGACAAATTGATGGACTTGGTGCACAGGCTTGTTTCACTTATGCAGGTCGCTGAAGGAGGAGCGAAGGGTCAGGTCACACTACCTCTGCCATCTATTGAGGTGCTATCTGAGGCTGCAGCCTATAGCAGCAGGAGACCGGCTGTTATTCATGTGCTGGAAACAGCTGTGGTGAACTGGATTAAGCAGATCAAGGTGGTTGCAATAATAAATTAATAATACATAGAGAACATGAATGGCTAGGTAATGAAATGAGAGACACCCCTCTACCCTCCCTATTTCGAGATGTTTCCTGGTGTTGTGGGAACTATTGTTGGTTTGCTTTTGTTTTGTGGCGTGATTACTGTCCAGTGTTTCAGTCTTTTGTAATATGTCGTTTGATGAATGCACCTTCATGGGCAGTGTATCCACAACACCAGAGAACTTAGCCCCATTTTCTTGCACTGTTAAGCTTTTTCTTCATCCTAGACCCACTAGGGAGCTTGTTCAGAGGCTATGAACAAGCTGGCATAACCACCAAAAAGTTTGAAAAAGACTCAAATTATTTTAGCACATAATTTTGTTTTTTGTAATTTTTTCATGGGCGCATTGCCTTTGAACTGGTGATATTATAGGTGAAATTTAAGGGGGCCTGTTGATTTGTGAAAATGGAAGGGGAATTTATTCATATCAAATTATGGAATACATGTAATATTTAACTTTTTTTGCTGTACTGCTTGCTGAAAGAAGAATAACTATTGTTATTGAGTTGTTTTTCTCTTTGCATTCTGAATGATACATTATCTTGGTTTGCAGATAACACTTAAGCTAGATCCAGAAACTGAGATAAAAAAATATGGTCCAAGGCCTGGTCCGTTAGATGAAATAGAGGTAATAGTAATAACTTTTCTTGATAATTCATTAAAAAGTTCAAAATTTTCCTTGTACATGTAGTTAAAATTTGGTGAGATAATGATGTTGTTTTTGCAAATCAGATGTGGTCCGAGAGACTGGAGAAGATCACATCAGTTAGTGAGCAGCTGTGTTCACAGGTGGCCCTCAACATTTTGATGAACCTAGAGGATGCTCATAGTACATATGCGCAGTCATTCCACCTTGTTAAAAGAGAAATTGCCAAGGTTAGAACTTGACAAAATGAAAAAAAAAAATGTTATTTACTCTGACAGTAACTTGAAAATACGCTGAAATCATTGTAGCATCATCATCATCATCATTATTGTAAGTTGCTGTTTTTGTTGTTATTTCAAGGGATTTTAATATAGCTGGCAGCCGGCAAAAGTCACCACTTTCTGGTTGTGTTTGGCCAGATACTCTGTGGGGTTATTTTGGAGATTCTTTAGTTAAGGATGCCAAAACTCGACAGCTGTTTCAGCTATGAAGTTCGAACTGTGCGTTTTCAGAGAAATTAAATCATAATTTGCAGTCCTAAACCCACTAAGCCCTAAGAGTGATGGCACAAAATTTCTCCTTGTAACATCAATGTCTTATAACACAGACTCGTCATATAAATTAAGGACATGATCACGGAACAGTCGATCTAATTGATAACTCAGCTAATTCTCCCCATTACTTCTTTTGGAAACGTAAGGACAACAAATGAGGCTTTTATTACTGATTTTAGTGTTTGAATGGTTAATATGTAGTATTTCCTGGTTATCTTTACTGACAATAATATTTTGATGCATCTGGTGCTTAAGGCGGAATCAGAGACAAATGACAATCTGCAGTTCCTGAGCACTCTTCTTCCTTGGTTTGAGAAACTCCATTATGCCACAAAGTCTGCAGAGATGGTGGTTGTGTTTCCTCCCTTGATGCACTCTATGTACCTTGTGTGGGTCTATTCAAGGTTGGTGTCAAGGTCATGCAGTCATATGACTTCTAAGGGTGACTATTATTGGGACCATGCAAATCAAAATAAAAAATTCAATTTGCAGTTTTATTAGCTTGAGAAAATAGCTGACATTTTGCTATTCCACCACTGGTTTGCCATGAAATGACGTATGAGGAATGACGAAAGAAACTCAATACTGTTGACCCAGATCTGGGTAGTGCGTCTGATCGGATGAGGCAAATTTTTAACCAATCAGAAGCACTACCCTTAGCTGGGAAGTGAAGTAGACTTTCGAAAAGTCCTTTATTTTGTTTTCCTGGTTAATAAATAATAAGAGCCATTTTCAAGGACTTTTCATACCTGTTTGGCACAAAATTCACCTGTTGAGAATTCTACTGATGTCATGACAATTGACCAACAGGACAGTGAGTGATATTTCATGCCGCTCCCGACACAGCATAATATGCATGAATTTATAATAGGATTCAAATCCATTCAGGCAAAACAAGTTGACCTCAAGACTTCATTGCTCGCTCAGTCGCTGTGCAACCTCATGCCACTGAAGCTTGCTTTGCTCACTTTTTTTATGAGAGGTCGACTTGGAACAAGTCTAAGGCCATTCTCCAGATGTCATTTTGCGGCAAAACCAGTAGCAGCAGCGTGAAATGTTGGCTGTTTTCTCAGGCTACAGTTTTATTGATGGAAGAACAAACTTAGTCATGCATGCATGCATAAGTTTAAGCTTCCAACTGAATGGTTTCAACTTAAATATCCATTCATGCACTTATAAAAGGTATGATCATTTCGTTCACTGGGATAATGAGCATTGCCGCCAGAATATCTGCTCATGCAGCAGCTTTCACTTGAATGTTCACACATTAATTTTTAGGATTTTGCTCCTCAAAATACATAACTTCCTTGTAGAGGTTAATATAAACAGCACCACAGGAAAGTATGGAGCAGTAACCCTGCCCAGTAGGGTTTCATAGCTTAGGATTTCATCAACTTACTAAATATTAATAGATAACACCATACAAAAGTGCTGCTGAAGAGGTTTCATTTGAGATTTCTTCCACAGACTCAAATGTTAGTCTCCTTTGCAACCGCGCGGGCCGGAGTCACGTGACTCTGTCCTAAGTGGCTGCGAAGGAGACTACCAGAAGTTAGAACCAGTTTTAAAGTGGCTAAAATGTATATCTCAAGGCATATACAGTCGAACCTCCATGTATGACCACCTCTTTAAAACAGCCAGTTTCCTTCTATAAATGACCACCGATCCAAAACACTGCAAGGTCTGAAGGTTCTATATATTACCATTGTTTGTAGCCTCTGGTCCTCTTCTCGGAGAAACCTCTGTGGTTTTGTTTTTGTAGGCGACCACTTCCCGTAAGCAACCACTAAATCTTAGCATTTTGGTTGGTCGCTTACTAGAGGTTCAATCATATTTATAGCTGACACACTTTCAGTTTTTCAGTTGTACCACCACGGAAATGTGTTCTTGATATGTATGCAGTTCTCCTAGAAAATGAATACTAATACTAATACACTGATGTTTTTCCTTTCCTTTCAGATATTACCATGACAACAGAAACTTTACAAGGTTGTTAACTATGTTGTCAAATGAAGTTGTTGCCCGAGCAAGGAGGCTGGTAGGAGAGCATGTACTCGAGAATTTATTGGCAGTAAGTAAAAGCAGTCTTATCAACGTGCTTTAACTTTAACTTTAACTTTAACTTTATTTGATTTACCACAAAAATACAAATAACGATAAAACAAGACAGTTACACAAAAGCAAATGAAAGTGGCGAGGAAGCCCAAACAGAAACCATGAGGCTTATAG